ATTTCTGATAACATATCTAAGGCCTAAGTTACCTACATGTTACGCATAACATTTAACATTTAGCACTGTGTGTTACAGGACATAACAGAAGGTAGATTTACCAGTCCAAACACAGGGTGTTGCATTATTATTCTGTACATATTGAACTGTAGGCAAGAAATGCTATGCATGCCCTTATACTACATACTTCCTGGCTATGCTATAATAATGCAGTGAGATCAATATATATGGTAAACAATAACGAACACAATGCCATAAAAATATCTGTTTCTTATCACCATGTCCGTAAAGTAGATCAGCCATGAGAAATTAGTCTTTAACTTTTACACAGTGACAATGTTATCTCCACTGACATACTTCTGAAAATCTATCCTGTAGGTGATATCTATACATTCCGGAGCTATTAATGCTTAAAGCCCATATATATTACAATCATAATGCTACAAGTTTTATTCCTGTTAGATTATATAACTTTTGATACATATTTTGGATATCCAATATCTCTATCCCTCTCCCAAACATAGATATTAGCCTACTTCAGTGTACATGTCCCATGACTTATGTTTCATTATCTGAAAATATGTCTCCATCCCTCTGTCAGTTTACATATATCTTGTATTTAGAGTAGATTTTTCTCTCGTCTTACGTTACATATTTTACACATAATTTGGAATAAAATCTTAAAAAATATTCTTGACATTTCTCTTTCGATCTTAGTGTAATTTTTTAATAATTTCCTTAATACTTACAACCACTAGCTATATTTCTATGTGCAAATACATGTAAGATAACCAAAGATGTTATCAGAAAAAAAAGATAATCATTATAAGATCTGAGGTTTTCTCAGTGGTGAAGATCTAGACTATCATCCTCTGGGTAATATTATCATGAAAGTGGAGGAAGCACAACCCTCCAAAACATTAGCAACTTACTTACAAGACTGGATGGAGTTGTACTCCTGAAGACTGCCATATAAACAAGAAAACATTGAAGACATTGCACAGAATGTTCAGATATGTATATTAAGCTACCTATCTGTCTGTATGTCTGTCTATCAGTCTACCTACCTAGGCCCATGGAGCACAGTCCTTCTTTAGAAGGTAATGGTAGCTCTGTTAAGAAATTCACCACCTTTTATGGAACATAAAGGTTTGTTACCAAGTTCACAGCAGCTCACAACTGGACCCTGCTTTAGCCAGGTCAGTCCAGTACACACCCATCTACCCTATTTCACTATGGTTGATTTTAATATTATCCTACCATTTACACCTAGATCTTCAACGAGATCTATTCACTTTAGGAGGTTCAATCAAAATGTTGTACACACTTCTGTCATCTTCCATATTTTAAATATGCCCTACTCATCTCATCCTCCATGGTTAGATGATCCTAACAATGTTTTGTGAAGAGTTTAAATAGTGCAACTCCACATTATGCATGTTTTCAATCTGACTGAGAAACTGGCATAAATGTTGCCTTAACATAATAAATGTAAGAATTGAAACTGGAGACATGTGTCACTGATGCTAATCAAATGCAAACTTGTCATTAGCCCATGTATAACTATATCTGAGTTACATACAAACAGAACAATAACAGGAATATGAAAATATAAAAATATTTTTAAATATTAGTTTTAAATAGTTTTAAAATAATAGTTTTAAAAAAGTTATAGACTAGAGTTTCTTCAGGACTTAAATGCTTAAAATAAAGGTCCTGGAATTGCCATTCACTAATTGCTGGCTACACCACTGCATACAAATTATAATTACTGTTTTAACTAACATATTTAGATTTATGGCCAGGAGGCTGTCAGTCAATTCCAGTGGAAGTGTAAGGTTCCATACACTATGTGAAAGGCAGGCATGCCTGTATCATGTAATGCAATGAATCGGCTCTGATAGCATCAATGGTGATTGTACACTCTTGTTATCTTAAAAAAATAAAGCCTAACCAGTATTAATAATCAGAGTTTTATCCTCAGAGTAGTAAACATTATGTCTAAGGAAATATATTATTATTGTCATCCACTAAATTGGAAAATGTATTTTCCATATTTTTAAAGTATTTACTCTTATAACATACTCGTATATGTATGAAGAAAGGTGCAATCTTGAAGTGAAAGAAGTGAGTAAAAGAGAATACCACCAAGTAATATATGGTATAACAGTATTTAAATTAACAGAATGTGGCCAATAAAATGTTGAACAAGCCAACCGCACAACAAATACCAAATGCTACGGAATTATCTGTGTACAAGTACAAGTCCAGCTCTCATACAGCAAGCAGGAAACACCTGAAAATAACTTATTACAAAGTAATTTGAATGAGCTTTATTCTGATGAAATGAACTAAACATGAAAACTTTTATTGTGCAACAGACAAAGAATGGAATAGAAGCTCTCTGTCTAATGCATGTTAAACTAGTGTGCAACTACATAGGCAAGGCAGAGGTAAGCAGCCTATGTACTTCATGACAGAAAAAGGTAAAATGCAAAGATAGGGATAGATGGCATGCACTTACCTACATGGGAAGACAAATGCTGCTGCAGAAGATTAATAATTACAGATCACATTTAATAAGAATACATGTCTTGTCTCTTAATATTCTGTACTTATTCTTCTTCTAAATCAAATGTTGCATGCTACTATTGTGAAAAAGCCTTATGAATTAAGAATTTGATATTAAACTTATGCCAAACAACCAACTGAAACTACTATCCAATGATCAAACAAAAGAAAAAAAAAGGATCATCTGACGGCCTACTGAAGAACTGAATTATGTCATTAATGTTACTATTTTGGACTTCACTTATTGGCGCAGCTTTTTAAAATCACAGACATTTTCAGATGTACCCATTTAAATCTCTGCTTGCAGTCTATCATTGTGTTCCTTAGCCTCTACATGCAGATATCGGAGTGAAACCCTAAAGTAGATCATGAATGTTCCTCTCCAGCTTTTCCTATCATGACACATAATTACTCTCTCCTCTCATTCAGTTGTGCTATATATCAGTGAAACTGCAGTGAAAATAGCATAATTAAATAACATACAATCAAATAAATAATATGATTTTTAAAGAAAAATTTCTTTTTGCTTTTGTACAAATAACAAATCAATCTTGGAGTAATGTGACATTTACAGGATTACAGATGAACAGTGAATATTGTATTTACAATTTTTATTTTGCACAGAGAATTGTAGGAACAAGGAACACAAAACATGCTCCATAATATCTTCCCATACTGGGGCCTGTGCATTCTACAAACATAAAACATCCAGGGTCTAATGCAGAGATCATGTGCTTATAGGCATTAAAAATTTAGTAAAATTGGTTCAAGGTACATCAAAATGGTATTACATTAGGATAAATGTGGATGCAGCATTAAATATAAGAGCACAATATAAAATAAAGTCATTGTTTGAAACAGGACATGAAACATAAATGTATGTAATTTTCTCAAGTATTTTTAAATTGTAATCATAAACTAAAAAATCTAAGAAAGCCACTATAAAGAATATATTGTATGAGGACCATACCGAAAGTTAAGAGCAGCATCAGTTTATGCAACTTTATTGAGATAAGGAGAATAGAAGTTATATGGGTGAGAGCCATATTTGCTTTCTGCAATCTGAAATGCAGGTCCAGTGCATGCACACAAATATAACACAAAACACACTGCAAAAAAAAAAACTGTAAATTGTACATTGTTTTATCAGCACACTGTAATTGGATTCCTCATGAAGGAAAACAATTCTGGTGTAAACATCTTTGATCAGCCTCTAGCTTTGCATCCTGTTCAAGCCCACACTGAATTGCGGCTTCCAACTGAGCACTCTTGCAAGTACAACTAAGTCTTCTCTTCACAGACTAACTGACCTGGTCCCTTGCTTATAACATCTTGGCATGGACCACAGAGAAAACATTGTTTCTCTGTTGCATGCGTATACATTGCAGCAGCCATCTAGTCTTGCTTATTAAGTATCTGCTGCCTAGCAACAGATATCATTACGTATTCTGTTTTGCAGCCATTGCCTAGAAACAAATGTTGTTTCAGAGCTGTTTGCTAGCAATGGCTGTATCCGGCTCCACAATTTTTGCTTTGAGCAAATATGCCACAATACAATGCTGGTAATAAAAGCTAGTTCCATAATTTAACCCCGAAACAAAACGACAGAGCACTTAATGGTATCATGCTCCAACTCTAAAGAAGGAGTAGTCCAGAACCATACCCTTGTATGGAAAAATTATGGTAACAATTTTCTGGGATGCTGAGGGTGCATACTGTTGATTTCCTACCAAGAGAGGAAATCATCAATGCAGTTTACTATGTAAAGATGCTTCAGAAACTGTGATGTGCACTTCATGGCAAAAGCCTGAAGAAGAAAACACATTCTTTAACACAATAATGCATGCCCTTACATTGCACATCTGATATCAGGGAAAATTGAAAAGTTTGGCTGGGAAGTGCTCCATAATCCTCACCATAATCAGGATTTCAGACTACCATCTGTTCAGGCCCTTGAAAGATCACATGAGGGGCCAGCACTACAAAAACAATAAGGCAGTCAAACAAACCATGTGTGCATGTTTGCAAAGTATTAAATTGTCTTCTATTGCAATGGCATTTTCAACATCATGTATCACAGACAGAAATGCCTTGATCATACTGGGGAGTTCATAGAAAAATGACACAACAACTGCAGTGTCTATTTTTATACATGGACACTTTCCTTAACACAAAATAGATGCTCTCATGACTTTTGGTACAGCCTGTGATATTGGTGACCAATATAATATCCACCATCCAAATCTCTTGCAGCAGCAGTGCCTCATGGTAAGTTCATGATGCCTACTATCCATTACACTTCCCTCCTCTGGCATAACTATGTTATCAAGAGCTCATTTCTTTGGTACATCTGATCAGCCACTGAACTATACTAACCAAAGTCTAGCCTACGAACTCTGAATTTGCCTGAAAGAATGGACCACACTTACGCTGCTGATCATGACTACCACTTCGAGAACCATGACCATACATTATCTGTGGGACTTTAAGGTAGTGTTTCTGTGAGTCAGCAGAGTGTTGTTGCAGATGTTGATGTGGTGGTGATGGCTGTTGCTGTCTGCAGGTTGGTAATAAACGCTCTGCACCCAAGGCTTTGTGTTGGGGGACCGGTATAGTGATGGTGGTACAGTCTGAAGTGTCACCTGTACCAACATGAGAATAATGGGGGGAAAAGAACTTTCGACTTAGAAATCACTTTTCATGACTTCTGATGTTTAAAGGCACGTTGTTTCAATTGCACGATCAATGAGGAGACAACATAATAGTATGCATACATGTTCAAGTTATGTAGTCAAATTCTGAGGAAAAATTCTATCTTCTGAGATGTAACGTCATGTAGTCCATTGAAAATTAACCAACGTTTCGAAGGAAAACGTCCCCTCCACCTTCAGGGTCGAAGAACAAGCCAAGCAAGAAACCAGCATGAAGTAGGTAGCAAATGACATACCCCTCAAAATTGTTGGTTGACTTTCAACAGACTATACACTATTACATCCCAGAAGATAGAACTCTTCTTAACCACTAACATGAGAACCTCAAATCCTACAAATTCCAAGGATATTAATCCTTTCAGAGAACTGCAGTAGAATGAAAGTATGCAAAGATATTAATAATTATGAAATTCAAAACACAGAAAGAAAACCCATATAATTACAGTGTGAATCAATTTTGTGAGAATACACAAGACAATATGTGAGATGATATCTGTATATATCAAGCAATATTAGCACTGGCTTGGAATTTTGTTAACAGATCATTCTAGAAGGAAGATTATGTGAGGAAGAGAGCATCACCAAAGTGCTAGTTACAAGGAATACCTTTCTCCCAAAAGCAGTAAAATCAGCTAAATGTCATAAATTCTTTCCCACAGAAATTATGAGGAAAACAAGATAATCTATGTAAATATAGCAGCAGGACTGTGAGATAAAGGAAGAAGAAAGACCCTATAAGAATATAAAGCAGCAGAATTGTATCATTTATTGAGAGCAAACATACAAGAAATAAATGATAATTATGTTTAATCTGAATTAAATTCAAACCAAAGATGCCATATCCACCACTGCCATATTAGAAATTCTGCTAAAATGAAGTTCTATATTGCTCAAGGAATTAGAAATAAGAATGTGAACTGCATCATAAGATGCACTGCGAATGTTAAATACCTGAGAATTCAGTGAAGAGAAGAAAGCACCCTCAAGTTGACCAACATGATATTCCTACCAGATTCCAAGGTGCCCATCATGCACTCAAATAATGTTTCCATATCATTTAAGAGTAGATAAAATCTAATATTTTAAATTGACATCCACTTTACCATCATCTCTTTTAATTCTTTTGATAATCTTCCTAGTATGGTTTATAACAAGGGCTAATATCTATGTTTATATTAATTTTAATCTTTGATTTCGGTGAAAATTACATTATGGTCCTTCCATGTAACTCCTGGTTTTTGAAAGGATGGGACATTATATTTGGCTATGTTTATATAATATGCCTATATAATGAGATATCTGTTGCAAAATATCACAGGTGATAAAATATACCTTTCATTCAGAATGGTCTATAAAATATTTCACTCTTTTTAAACAAAATATCTCAGCCAAACACTCAGTCCATCACACATCAAATCCCCTTTTATATACATATTAACTAATTACAGACACATAGATGAAGTCGAATCACATGAAAATTTGAGTAAGTTTTTAAAATATTCTTCTTTTTATTAGTCAATGAGCTTCAAATGTCATGCTGAACAGAAAGTTAAGGAATTCTTTCCTTATTAAAGGATGTGAATAGGTGTTCTGGAAAGCACCAATTACTTAAAAACAACAATTTTAATATTACAAGAGTAACTCTCCACTATTTAAGTTTTATGTTTAACCAAGCCCCACACCACATTACATTGTGATCAAAGGGCCAAGTACAGGGTCACCTCACAAACTGGATGTGTGCATCCAAGCCATGTTGCGCAATCCAGGCAGCAGAACAACATGAGGAAGCACTTACCAATAGTAGACCTGGTCTTGTCCAGTTCTGCCAAGATTCGGTTGTCTTGCTCAATCTTTGCCATGATACGATCAATCTCACTGGAGCTTTGGACCCCAACAGTTGACACACCTGTGGATGTAGCAATAGGAGACCCAGTCCTTCCTTGCTGCACTTGTGACTGTGCGTGGCTGCTACTGTGCGCGTACTTCTCCGCCCCAGTTCCAGTGTTACTGGCAGCTATGATAGGTTCCACGGTGCAGGTATTTGGCAACAATGGGAGAGAGTTTGGTGGTTGATTTGGAGCAGCAGTGGTGTTGGGTAGGGAGGATGATGAGAATGGGCCACCACGAATAGAAGAATTAATAGTTGGCGGATTAGAAGTAGAATTATTAACACCATAGTGGCTGTTTGACATTTGATAGATTGAAGTTAAATCTGAAACAGAGGGACTTTTCCATAGACCAGGGTTTGGACCAGGAGGATGTGTATAATATGGTTGTTGCTGCATGCAATAAGAAGGAGTGAATCCCCCTATAGAAGTTAGGCCAGGGGGAAATACTGATCTAGGAAAGGGGGAGAGAACGACTCCAGATGTACCACAACCTATAACAGTGTAACAGGGTGAAAAGGAAGGGGATTGGAGGGGAATGGTAACGTGGTCAATTAGCTTTCAGAAAGAAACTAAGAAAACAGTGAGAAAACAACAAATGGACAACATGATATGTGCAACACAAGTCAGTGCATGCAAAGACTAGTTAGTATCAACAAAACTGAAAGAAACACAAACATGCCTGCAAATTAAATAAAACACAGGGTGCTTTACAATAAATGGCACGCAAAAATCTTTCACACAAGCAATAAATAAGTTTCATGCAATTTACAGAAGCAAAAGAAGGGCATGCAGCAAGGATAAGAAAAAAGGTAAAAGTCACCTTCAATCACATGTCAACAACTTGGCCAACACTTTTCTGCCATACCTTCAAACATCAATCAAAATACATGAACACACCCAAACAACAACTGCTATGCAGAGAAACAATATAACGTCAGGTTTTATGTAGGTTTTGTGAATGTGTCAAGTTTTAAGCAGCTTATTATTCTACCAACATATCAAAACAAACACTGCACCAGGGATATCAAAATTCATTTGAGTAATTTATATCACACTATATGTTATGTCAAATTGATGTCTCTGCGATTTTATCTGTGTTTGACAAGTTTTATAAACAGTGCCAGTTGCACATTTATGAATACTCTGAAATTATGTATGTGTGTATGTATGTATGTATGTATGTACATATATACTACAATTTTCCTTCATTTGGAATTCAGAAAAAGAAAGAATATTTGTTACTCAGAGAAAATTATTAAATGAAGTTGAGACATTATATGATCTTTTGTTAAGGGAATAATTCTTTGCAGTGCAACTCTTACAAAGCTTCAAGAAAACAGCTCCATTAGGACTGAATAATGTGGTACAACAACAGTAATTTGAACTCAAGAGACCCATCCATATCAAAAGTAGTTTAGTCAAACAATATAAAAGTTTGTAATAAATATTAATATGTCTGATCATACAAGAAATTTGCAATGTTTTTAATTGTATAATTAAAACTATGCTTCAGAAAATAAGAAAATTGTGTTATTCAGTTTTTATTTCAATAAAATATAAAAGTCAGTCAATAAAAATGAGATCAGAAAATATAACATTCAATTTCTCTGAAACGGAAATAAAGTAGTTTTAGTAAACAGAAAAAGGTATATGCATATGTCAACTCCTCATTGCATTAATAGTGTCCCCAAAAATGTATACACAATTTATTCACTTAGATCGTTAACATTAAAGCATGGAGATGGTCATCCAGTATTGTAAAATTTATTTCAAAGTCACATATATTTTAAATGCTAATGAGCAACATCAACGCATTATTAATAACAATATGCTTGTAAGGATATTGCAGGTTCAAGAGCCATACAGACAAAATAAACCTCATGCGTCAGATGCTTCAGATCCTCCAGAGCTGTTGGCTTCCTTGCATTCACAGAATTACTTATACCACTCCACAAAATCAAGCAGTGTTCAACCTGATGATTGCACTTCCTCTTCATTCATTCATCTGTAATCTGTCAAGATGACAGGTCCACAGTCTCTTCCGAAACAGTTCTTCCACTTGATGCGATCCAGAGCTTTCTCCTTCAAATGAAAATATCCTCTTCTGTCTCCAAGGTCATCCAGCATCTTCTTACGTCTTCTTCCTCGTCCTCTGTTCACTTCTATCTGCCCCTCTATCTTTCCTTCAATAACTTCTTTTAGAAGGCAGTTACCGCGTAAGATATGAACAATCCAATTAGCCTTCCATTTTCTTATTTCATGTAGGATATTCCTCTGCTCACTGACTCTAAATAACACTTCTTCATTTCTCACATAATCGGCCCAACTGATCTTCTCCATCCTTCTCCAACACCACATTTTGAAGCTTTCCAGGTGTTTCTCATCTACTGCCCTAAGTGTCCAAGTTTCAGCCCCATTCAAAGCGATGCTCCAAACGCAGCATTTCACTAGTTTCTTTCTCAAATTTAAGTCCAATTTGCTGGTAAAAAGATTCTTCTTCTTGGTAAATGCAGCTTTTGCCATGGCAATCCTAGATTTAATTTCACACGTACACCTTCCATCATCTGTTAACAAGCTACCCAAATATTTAAAACATTTCACATTCTCCAGTTGTTTTTAGTCTATCTTTATTGTGACTGGGGTTGGTTGTCTCAAAATTTTCATTACTTTTGTTTTTTCCACATTCATTTCCATGCCATAGCACCTTCCAATTTCGATTAGTCTATCAATCATACCCTGTAGCACAGTTTCTTCCTTAGCCATTAACACAAGGTCATCTGCATATTTCACAGTTCCTCTGTTCTGTCAAGTAGCAACTGTTGTCGTTATGTGGTGACAATCCATCTTACTGAAAGTATCACTTTTCAGTAATGTATTGTATATTTCAGCCATGCATGGCATAGTTTTTTCTTATAGCATTTGTGGATGGAAGTACAAGTGACACTTCCTTTAATGCAAATCAGTTCTATGACTCTCCTGAAAGAGAGACTGCAGCTCACTGTTACCGCTGGTCGCTCAACTACTTTTCGTATTATCACATGTGACTCTTTTTTGGCTCACTACACTAAATTATATTGTCTAAAAGTACCATAAAAAACTTGAAAATTGTTTCATCACACCACCCAAAGGGAAAATTTGTATTCATTACACATACAAGTCGATAATTCAGGCAGTGAGTATGGATATCTTCAGTTACATAATGTTACAGTGTATGTAATTTTTTTAATCCACTTAGTGGGGCATGGAGTCCAACTGGGTCCACTCATCATGGTGGCCACTGATTGGCCGATTGTAGCCTGCCCCGGGTGATTATGATGATGGAGAATTTGGTGGAATGAAAATTGGCAGGGGAAACCGAAGTACTTGGAGAAAACAAGCCCCAGCACCACTTTGTACACCACAAATCCTACTTGTCCAGACTCGGGATCGAACCCGGGCCGCCGCTGTGGAAAGCCAGCGACTAATCGCTTGAGCTATGGCACAGCCCTTACAGTCTAGTTAAGTATGATTTATACTTTGCATTGTACTAAGCACAATGAACACATTTTACAGATGTAAAGTCTCACAAGAACACTATATCAGAGACTCTGTAGGGATTATGCGAAGGCATGTTAGACCTTCTGAGCATTCTCATCATCAGGTAATATTTGACAGTTTATAAAAAAAGAAAAACCTTTTGACTACTTGGCTCATTTCCATCTACCTCAAAATTATCACCCAAATTGGTGGGTGGCTATAACATTAGTAAAAAGAACATCAATGGTACAGTTTGCACTGCGAACATCTAGGCTGTGTTACCATGTACTTCTATAGGTAGTTACCAGTGGTTTGAGAAACATACTGCCTCTACTTTAGCGCAGAAGTCCACCCTGTAGATGGAAGAAGTGAGGCCGCAGGTTCCTTTAAAATGTTTTGATAACCACATATATGAATGCACCATGCCATAAATCAGAAATTAAAAACCTAAACTTTCACCATTATGGAAATTCCAGATCTCATACTGATATCTAGCTGTGTTACTACAAATCTATTTTTACAACATGTTTTATGGATGTTCAAAAGATGTATACAGTTCTTGGGACACTATATATTTGTAAACAGCATGCTGCTTAATTCTGACTTCTGTGAAAATATACCTGAATATGTAGTTATTTTTATGCCATCAGAATGATCTTTTACCATTTCTGTAAGCTATGATCAGTGTTACATATTGAAGTAATGGAAAATATAAGAATTTTTTATTTTAAGCCAGCACTATATATTAGACTACAAGATTTCTTTTTTCAGCTTAGGACATCGAAGGCAAACAGTTCAAATTGTGAGTTGGACCACATTCTTCTGCTATGAAAGCTACCACAGTTTATTAGCCATATGAGTCTTAATATTTATACCAAGACAAGGATGTCAGACATACAGATACAAGAATAAGAAAGCCTCAACATACTTCAGTGCATTACATGATTGATATAGTGAAGCTTTAATGTTACTAAAAATAAATAACAGCATACTTTTCCAATGACAATTTCTTTTTTTCAGGGACATAGTGTTGTGAAATCTGCTGAAATTTGACTTCCAATGGACTACATGACTTTATATTCCAGAACACAGAATTTGTCAAAACTACTGCTGCGAGAAACTCAGGTCCTACATATTTTTCTATTCCTTGCCATAGATTAACTTTAATGTACCAAGATTCAAATCCTCCCTGCTTCTCATGGTCCGAAGTAAATAATATTTCATTAAGACTGTGTCCCCTTTAAAAAAAATATGTAATTTAAAAATACAAAAGAGAAAACATCTTACAGAGTCTAACGTAATCATGCAGCTGAAAAAAATTCTTTTCTATCACATGTCACATTAATGAAAAGTGGGTATGAACCCTCATAAGGGAAAAAAATCAAAATAGCGGGTGTCTCTTTTATTCATCTGTCTACCATCTGAATGTTGTGGTTGTTCCTCACCAAGCTACTGTCTTCACACATTTAATTTAGTGTGACAATCCCCCATGAATGTGATGATGCACATGTCAACATGACATTTTTCACATTGGTGAAGTTTGTCTTTGTTGGGAATGTACCAGAAACAAAGCTGCAATTATTTTCCTCTGGGGCGGCCAATACTGCCTGCATCTGGTTTCCAGGAAATTTGTTTTTACCATAGGATCATCAAACCTTATTGAACAGGTGTCTGCCATTCACTGGTTTGGTTACAAAACTATAGGAGGTTTAATAATGTTCCCAAGTTGATCACAGAAATAGCCATCTTATGGCCCTTGTTTGCACACTTACATTTAGTGTTTATATAGTGATGCTGTCAGTACTCAGAATATAAAGCACTGATTGGTAGGATGATTTGTGAACAATTATTGAACAATTATTGAAGTGATGTGGAAGGAAGCACTTATGATCTAATTTTAAGTCATATCCTGATATCTATCTGGAGGGACTGAGGAAAACTACAAATAACCTCAATCAGGACAGTCAGGGTCCTG